GACAAAGAAAATTTAAGGATACTGATTTTAACTATTTCTTTGTTTCCTTGCTACAAAAGAATACCTGTTATTTTCTGCAACCTATTTTTATTCAAAATAGAAGTATATTGATTTTGCTAGCCAAGGATTCTAAAAGACAGTTAAAAAGCACCAAACTAATAGGAAGCATGTTTTGATTCTTTTAGGCCAATTTGCATTTATTGTTTCACTCTGAATAGATTTTTAAAAATGTTTCAAGTTCACGTGAAGGCTAAAGAGGAAGAATAGCAAATCCAAAAGAATCAACCTCTAGCATATGCTACATATGTGTATTTAAGCCAGCCTCATTTTTGCAGTAATTCAGAATAAATGCAATGGGGACACTATGACAATATAAAGTATGATAGTACTAAAAAGTATAGAACTTTCTGGAAAGTTTTCCAAACTGAAAAACATGGACGTCTGTTGAACATATTAGACCTCTGATGGAATAATTAAATTATGTATAATATGTAAGAATAATTAATAATATGGCTTCAAGTTTACTTCCAAAACCTGAACTGGAACTTGCAGCCATGTGACTCTTTAAAGTGTTTTTCCTGGTATTGTATGGCAGCATTAAGGACAGCCACATGATCTGAGGAAAAGACATGGCTCATTTAAAAAGTTGCAGATGCTTTAAACTGTGCTTCATTCACATATTCACATATTTCAAATAACTTTTCCAAATTAATTCTGAGACCTTGTGTAGCTCTAAAGATGTTTTTTTAGCTCAGCTTTTGCTGATCTGTTTTCCCTCAAGATATTTTGGAACTACAGTCTATTTACTGCATTGTTGTTGATGGTCATGACAGTTTGAAACTATCATCCCCAAACACCTCAAGGGGCCTAGATCAACAGAACTTGTGTAGTAATATTACACTGCTTTTCTCTGTGCTTAATTGATACTTCTGTCTGTTGCATAATAATAAATGTGTATTAAAAGAATCTATTGGAACCTAATTTGCTTTTATGAAGAATGGAAGTCAATGAATATCTAGTTTAATATTCAGATGATATCTCAGTAGTTAATCTTTAGAACTTTCTAAGCTATCCTGATGTATTAAGTGCTATTCACAGAAAAGTAGCTACCCGGTAATTTTGATACCTGTAACCTTTAACTGGGCAAAATGATTCATCAAAGGGCAAAATCTTTTTAACCAAAGTACCTCAAATGGGCTAACTTATTGAATGCAGTCAAAATCCAAGACCCATGACTCCTATGGAATTGAAAGTTGGCCAATTTTATAAAACATTTTATGAGACATTAAATTATGAAACATCATAAAACACTTTATGACATAATTCAAAATGTCATAAGACATTTCCTGTGCTGATGTCTGACTCTGCTATACAGTTCCACATGGCTTATTTTCAAGTCAGATACCTCTCTGAATGTATTCCAAAGTTGTCTAGTATTAGAATAAATCTGCTGTCACATTGATGAACATTATGTGTCCCTTTTGCATTTGTTCAGCTCCAACTTATTTACCCTTCTTTTTATAACCCTCCTACACCACATTCTGCCTGCCACAATCTGAACTTAACTTTAAAAAATCCCTAAACTAAAGACTGGAAATGATAAAAAGCAGTATTTTTTTTCATTTCTTTTGCTTGATTTCCATTCTTTACATATGTAAATAAATTTCAAGTGCCTTTGTAGTCTGTTCAAGACGTAGAGATACAGTGAGTGGATGGTCCCACCATTCAATTGTCCTATTCTTTCAGTCTTGTAGTAAAGCTATAAGGTCATAAGGTTAAAACACTTGCAGTACTACCAGCTGAGCAGCCTACTACTAGGGTGAGGTTATCATTTATAGTAATGGTTACTGATTGTTTCCACTATTTCACACAGGTTTTTAATGGTGGCGTCCACCTGCTAAATTGTGCTCTTTGAGCAGATGAGGGTGGAACAAATTGAATGCAGCTACAACAGGGTTGCAAAAGGACAGAAAGGGAACCCTTGCGCTAAAAAATAGAGCTCTACTGTCCTTATACAAATTTGACCCACTACTGCAATAGCACCACTGTCGTCAGTTCTGGCACTGCACAGACCATCAGGGATGGGACACACCCATACCAGGCTGAAATGTCCAATTAGCACCTCTCTGATCCTATCCAGTACTGAGGTAATGAGTGATGAAGTGTCATGGATTTTATGAACCTTGAAATTGTCACTGATTTAAGGAAGGAAAGACTGTTTTAATACTGGGCCAGTCAATGATGGTTTAGTCTGACTCATGAACTCTGAAGGCAATGTCATGGAAACATAGCAGAAAAATAATGTTTTTAATACATGTGCTGCATTAGGTACAAACTGGGAAATGATCTTGTGTTCTGAAATAAATGAAATCACGTTTTGAGATAAAATAATTGATTTTTAATTGCAATAGCTCCCTAACTAATTTCACCATGATACTTTTATTTTTGGAGTATCAGAAAATAGATAAAATTAACCAACAAATAATACAGTATTTCATTGGAGATTTGCATTGTTAAGAGCTACTTCTACATAACAAATTTTGATTGCAAAATGGAGAAAGAAAGAAAAAACCCAAGACTTTTAATTGCTGAAAATACAACCAAATCAATCTGTGAATAAGTACCAGACATGACTTAAAATAATGAATAGAGTGCTTTTATTACTAATGTATACTAAACAGAAAGATTTAAATGTTATGGGAAAGAATGACAAAAAAGTAGGATAAAGTACTCTTTGCAAATCAAAGATCTGAGGATAATTTTGCTAAAGACATCTGTAACAGCCCAGTCTGAGCAACAATATATGTAAACAAAATAAACCAGCTTCCCAGAGGTACAATGCTTTGCCAAAGAAAGCAGAGTCAGGTAAAAGTTATAAACAGCTAAGAGACCCATAAACATTACACTCTAATTTGTTTTGAACACATGAGAGAGCACAATGATTTACAAAGAGTCTTGAAATTTTAAGTTACCCACACATTGAGGGTCTGTTTCAAATCTACTTAGGACCAAATGTCAGAGCCCTGACATTGCTTCAACATTATTTATAGGCTTAAGAATTAATGTGAGAGCAATTTCCCTTGCAAGCTGCTAGACTTCATTTATGTTTTTTTTACCCCTAAAAATAACTATGTTCTTGATAATTTCATTCATTGAAAGTCTTTAGTTGTTAGGAGAGACCTTGGGGTATCAATTCATGATTTCAAAAGGTACTTCTTGACTTATGACCATTTGTTCAGTGACCATTCAAAGTCACAACATGCAGAATGAAGAGACTTACAATCCATACAGGAAGTTATGGCTGTTGCTGTAAACAAAACTCAGCTCTTGGCAGTCTGCCTGCACTAAAAACTGGGGGCGGGAGGGGGGTTGCTGCAACTCTCTCCACATGCCAATTTCTCCATCGTCTATGACCTTTTGGCCTCCTATCACCCTGTGCTCCACCAGCCCAGCTCATCTTTCCTTTCTTTTTGCTTCCACTGAAAGCCAGCACCAGACCAGTCCTGCAGCCAGGTCAAGGAACAAGATTGCAAAGGTGTGCTGGGATGGCAGAGTGCAAGGCAGCAGGGATCTTGGTGTGCAGGGTGGCAAGGGCAACTGGACTGGGCTGGGGTGACTGTGGCTTCCCACAGCCTTGCATGGTAAATAAAAGGGCAAAGATGGAGGGGGGGTGAGAGACAGAGGTGGGTTGCTCCCGATTCGGCCCGGATCGGGTGAACTGGTAGCAGTGGTGGCCGAAGGCTCCACCCACCCGCCCGGATGCTTCTACACATGCGCAGAAGCCTTGCACAAATGCCGTACTGGTATTTTAAAAAATGGCATCCCACCACCGGTGAGAGAGGCAAGTGAGAGAAGTTGGAGGCAGTCCCTTATCCTACTGAGGCTCACGGTTTAAAGGCACTGGGTGAGTCCTTGGCTATCGACCAGTAAAATTTGCTTAATAATGGCAACAGGATGCGATCACTAAGTGATGCAGTCCTGTGTTATCTTGCTTTATAACTACATTGCTTAGCAACTAAAATTCCAGTCCCTTGTGGATAGAGTACTTTTTATTTGTATAAAAATAAAGTCAGGTCCCTCTTCTCTCTTCTTGTATTTTCTTTTTCAAAATTTGCTGATTCCCCCCCCCCCTTTTTCAAAAACATACAACACTAGAAAAAAAAACAGTTGAGATTTTTCATCAAATTTCTGAGCAGAGAAATGAATGGATGATGTCTAAATTCCTCTGGAAGAAGGGAAATTCTCCAACGATTTCCAGTAGTCTACTACAGGACGTAAGTCCTGTTACTGGGAAAGCCAAACTGAAGTTCTCTGGAGATTAAACTAAAAGGCAGAAGTTAGGGAAAGAGGATTTAACAATAAAAGTGTCCTTTTATCTGTCTCAAAATCAATGAAAAAATAATTGTTTCCCCTGATAATTAAAAAAAAATTAGGCAAATTGTTTCACCAAATTAAATATAAAGCTAAAAGGGAAAAAAGTCAATGAGTTCTCTGCCTGTCAAGAAAGCTATTTTTTTCTAATTCAGTTCTTTTTCACTACATGTCTATATTGAGTTCCCATTAATAATCATCAGTTCAAGGGTGCAGTCAGTCTTTAATTAAGTCCAGGACTGACTACATCAGTGTTGGCGAACCGTTTTGGCACCGAGTGCTGAAATGGGGGCATGCGTGTGTGCTGAGAACCAGAAGAGCAGCCGCCTGGAGCACATGTGCGCACCAGGAAGATGATCTTCCGGGTTCCAGCAAGCATTTATCATCTTTTCAGTGCTCTATCTCAATGCACAGCTTTTATTCCTGTACTTACTATTAGAAAAATCTGAATCTTAATATTTCAATTTTTAAAGCACTGAATGGAATTGTTGTACATGATTCCCTCCAAGATTAAAGATTTTAAAAATTGTATGCTTTCATATTAACTTATAATAAGGAACTTGACAGTTTGAATAAATTAAAATGGATGGTTGTAATGACATCAATGTAAGCAACTTGGTCTATCTTACTTGTCTCTGATGTTGTCAGTTGTATTAAATTTTCACTTTCTTCATCAGTGCTTCCTTCATAATTTTCTTTTCCAACTGTACTTTTTGAAGCAATTACTGTGTCCCTAGAAAAATAAAAAACTTTATCAAAATACACTAGTATTGTAGAACATATGGAGTTCATAAATAGATAAGAAAGGGACAAAAAGGAATGGTTTTAATTAATCTTACTTTATAATGGTGGGTAACATTTGCAATAGTAAATTCATTTAGAAACACATTTCTTGTTGCAATGATGGGGACTAAAACTAGACAAAAGAGATTTGTGTCATTCCCACCATTCTGACATTCAAGAAACTATTGTACGTTTTCTTAGGTGTTCCATACAAAGTGATTGTAGAACCCTCCTTTTGTCCTCATTTGTTTTGATTCATATTGAATACTTCTTTTGAATACTGGCTCTTCAGATCAGTTGTATTATCATTCCTTCCTTCCTTCCTTCCTTCCTACCTACCTAGCTACCTACCAGTGGTGGATTTCCATTATTTTTACTATTCTATTTCTATTTCTGTTTAATGGATTTATAGGCCGCCCAATCCCGGAGGACTCCGGGCGGCTTACAAACAAAGGAATTAATTAGAAAAACATAAAAGAAAACAATTTAAAACATCATCATGCACCCAATCTAGTCGGGGCTGGACCTCAGTAATGAGGTCAACAGCCCCAAGCCTGCCGGAATAGTCAGGTTTTAACGGCTTTTTGGAAGGCCATGAGAGTGGGTAAGGTCCGGATATCTGGGGGTAGTTCATTCCATAGGGTCGGAGCGGCCACAGAGAAGGCCCTCCTCCGGGGAGCTGCCAACCGGTTCTCTCGTGCACACGTTCGTGTGTGACGCGTCTGCGCATGCACAGAAGTGTCCGGGCGGGTGGGAAGAGCCTCCCGCCGCTGTCGCCATTACCAATTCATCCAATCCAGGCCCAACCAGGAGCAACCCACCTCTGCTACCTACCAACCTACCTACCTTTCTTCCTTCCTACCTACTCATCTACCTACCTACCTACCCAGTTACCTAGCCCAGTTGTAAGTCAGAGTTGAAGGTAGGGAAAGAGCCTATAAATTAAATAAATAAGTGAAAGGAATAGAGAACACACACTTTATGAAGAGTGAACATTTCACTCCTTTTCTTTTTGAATTCATTATATTTCTATGTTCTATTTTCCTAATCTCCAGCTTCAATTTTCCAAAAATGCTTTAATAGCTGTTGTCACACTGCCAGTGTGAGACAGTCAAAGCCATGAAAGTCAATGTTAGTCCCATTTGTCTAAATGTTACCACTAATGTTGACAGATGCTGGTTGTCATTAAACTTTTAAAATCTTATCTATGACAACGTTGTATGTTTTCTTCCCAATTTATGGCACAGCAAAACTCCATATATAACATTTCTATAATATTAAATCAAACTTTGCAGTCATTCAGTGCCTTGGGGAAAAAGTAAGTATATGCTAAGCTTTTGGTGCATGCCAAATTTATTCTATCATGAAAGATTAACCAGTGAGATAAAGTATTTTCCAATAACTAAATTCTATAGAGATCATGCTAGGGTATCAGGAATCCCATTATATAAATTCTCACATTATATATTTAAATAGAAATAAAAGCAAAGCAAGGTAGTTATGTTAATCATAAAAATATCATATTAAAAATACCCCAAGATCACAAACATATGCAGCTTCCATAGAGCAAAAAATATGTATTGTTAGCAAAGTATGTATTGTAAATATTATCTCCAGAAATGTTTTCAATTATATACCATATATTAACATCATTGTATGTTGAAGTCAATGTAATAATAAAAATAAATATAAATATAAGAAATGAAGTGGTCTCCTGGTTAAATATATTGTTTATTTAAATGCCATTTATATATTTAAATTCAAAAAATTCATCCCAAGGCAAGACTTAACCAAAGTTGATCCATGGACATAATTTTATTTAAGTAAAGACATTCTTATGTCAGTAATTATGTGAATATTTTATTGGCAACAAATGGAAGTTTTGGCCATTGATTTTTTTCTAGTCTTTTAAAAAAGGCAATTATTTTACACACAACTATATAAAATCACAGCTGTCTTTTCTTGGTGTTGGCCTTTGTATTCATCAAATTCTTCCTGAGAATCTAAAATGTCATAATGTACTGGCAAAATATTTAAACACCATCTAAACATCTAAATATTTAAACATTTAAACATCTAAACAACATGGACTTTTGTAACTGACAGATATAAATTTTTCCAATGTGCACATTATCTAAGTACCTCCAAGATTTTTTGGTATAATGTGCAGTGCCATTTTTACAATTATGAATTAACATATTTTCAAGCAATCAGTCTTGTTCACTTTCTTCCAGAATTTTATTTTCTAGAGTTCAAGAAGGGAGAAAACTTCATTCTGAAACACAACATGAAAGAAAAGCCTAGCTGTACTCTACTAATGGAAAAGAAGAATCCTTCTAGACAGGCATTTCTTTTATAACAGAAGTGATGGGGCCATTTTCCATATACCCGCCTTCCAAAACCTCTTAAGGAAGCCATACACAATTTAGACAAGGCCACGTGCACTTTGGGCAAAAGGCAGCAGCGGCCTCAGGAAGAAGGTACGCCTCATGAGCTGTGGCAGGAGGAGGATAGCAAAACTCAGTTGGACGAGGCAAGCCCACCAGATCCACAGTGACAATGCCTGCAGGGTTAATGAGATCAGGGCAACTAAAGGAACAAAGGGGCACATAAGTAGATGGAGGAGCTTGCGGTCATTAAGTGCGGGCTGGTTGCCAAGTGCCTCAAATTTTAATCACGTGACTGCAGGGGTGCTGCAATGGCTGAAACTTCAAGGACCAGACATATCTACCACTTTTTCAGCACTGTCATAACTTCAAAAGGCCATTGAATGAATGGTTAAACTCATGAACTACCTGTATTTATTCCATTTATAGATCTGTATTGGCCTCTCAATTCCTGACAAATAGATGGGAAAGAAATGGAGGTAGTGACAGATTTTATTTTTCTGGGCTCTAAGATCATGGATGGGGACTGCAGCCAAGAAATTAAAAGACGCTTGCTCCTGGGGACGAAAGCTATGGCAAGTTTAGACAGCATACTAAAAAGCAGAGGCATAACCCTACCAACAAAAGTATGTACAGTCAAGGCTATGGTTTTCCCAGTTACAATGTACGACTGTGAAAGTTGGACCATAAGAAAGGCTGAGCACCAAAGAATTGAGGCCTTTGAACCATGGTGCTGGAGAAGACTCTTGCGAGTCCCTTGGACTGTACATACTTTTGTTGGTAGGGTTATGCCTCTGCTTTTTAGTATGCTGTCTAAACTTGCCATAGCTTTCGTCCCCGGGGGCAGGGGCTTTTAATTTCTTGGCTGGCGTCCCCATCCCTTGTCTTTGGGCCCCGGAAAATAAAATTTGTTACTTC